TATTATTATTTTTTTTTGTGATACTTTATTGAAATAATATAATTTTAAAATAAATTTTTTTAATCTTTGAAAGATAAAATAGATAAATATTGACTATATATACAATTAATTGTGAATGTCAATACCCACTATTATAAAAATTTAATTCTATTTTAAAGGCCAAAGCCCCTATTTGCACCCTCCATTTATTTCTTTTGCACGGTCAACACCTTCCAGAATTTTTCCTCCCTATTCACACCCTTAACTTTTCAAAACCCGTAAAAAACCCAACATTTTAATACGACGTCACGGTACTGTTACAAAATGTACTACGTGGCACTCAAAAATCGACGTGGCCACTATGTGCCGTTTGTAATCCAATGTGGATGCTTTTTTTTTTATGACGTGGCTTATTTAAATAAAAAAATAAAAAAAAATTTAGAACAGGAGCTTTGGGTTCCGGAACCCAAAGCTGGGTTCCGGAACCTAGACTGGGTTCCGGAACCCAGAGCTGGTTCCTTGTGAGGAACCCAAAGGGTTCGAGCTGGGTTCCTCCTGAGGAACCCGATCTGGGTTCCTCGGGAGGAACCATGAGGAACCCTCTGGGTTCCTAGTGAGGAACCCGATCTCGGTTCCTCGCCGAACCCAGAGTTGGGTTCCTTGTGAGGAACCCGATCTGGGTTCCGGAAATATATATATATTTTTTTGTGGGGGACGTGGAGACAAGGGAAACCGTGCAGTGGGTCCCACTGCACATGTGGTGTCTGCATGTGCAAAAAAAAAGCCACGTCATAAAAAAACAGATCCACGTCTGAAACTAACGAATAAAGAAACGTCGCATGTGCCACGTTAGTTTCTGGGTGCCACGTAATGCATTTTTTAACGGTACCGTGACGGTCTGTTAAAATATTGGGTTTTTCACGGATTTTGAAAAATAGAAGGTGTGAATAGGGAGGAAAAATTCTGAAAGGTGTTGACCGTGAAAAAGAAATAAATGGAGGGTGCAAATAGGGGCTTTGGCCTATTTTAAAATGACATCTTCCTAAGTATTCAAGACAAAATAAGATCAATAATAGTTTAACTAAATCGATATTTGCTAACTTAAAAAAGATTTAATTTAGAATCAAAATTAAGGATTCAAACTCTTATATTACCAAATGTAACTTCTCCAATACACCCAACAAATTAAATAACTAAGTGTAGTTTGGAAATCAAGATTAAATAGATTTGATTCAAAAATAAATTTTGAGGGACTAAATTAAGTATTTAACTTTATTTTTATTCAGTTCAAAGAAATAAGATTATATAAGAGTTAGAGTACTTATTATATTATTTTTAATCAAATTTTTATTTTTTTGGTGCCATAAGGAAATATAATTAAACTTAAATAGGAATGAGGTACATAGGTAATTCAGCCAGATTCTGACAATATGTTACAAAACATGATTGAAGGGCAAACTGAAAAGACCAAAATTAAGGAGTCCTTTATTGAAGCGCCAAACTTTACTGGTGTCTGGTGATGAAATCTTTATTTGGTATTTTTTTTCATCACCAATCAAATCTTTATTGGTGATGAAAAAAATGACCTTTCCAAAAATAAAAGGCAAAGGTAGCATTGCTTTCTAAGAGCATGGCCTATGGTCAGAATGACCTAGAAAAAATGGAAAAAGTAAAGGTGAGAAGAATGGCCTAAAGAAAAGAAAGTGAAGGCAAGCATGGCATTTCAAAAAGGAAAAGGTAAAGGTGAGCTTGTCCTGAGTAGGGCAGCATCCCATTCGCTTTGTCAGTTTACTATAGACGTTGGGTAATCGTTCCCAATCAGTGTTCTACAACTTTTACTCTATCTTTTGGGTGGAAAGAA